TTTAGAGTTTATGCTAATATTGGCTAAATTATCTTGCTAGATTAGATTAACTAAGGTATCCACCACCCTAAAAATCAATCAAAGGCTTGATTGTCTAGATATTGTGTTTCTTTTCATACTTTTCACTGCATCAACCCTAGTTATGCTTAGAACCATAATCCCTAGCCTGCTTTTTGATCGGGGTTTCAGCGATGAGTTATCTGAATGTCGTATCGGCTTATAACGATTACATACAAGTTGGATTTAGCCAATGATAACAAATGTTTTATTGTTTATCTAATTATTTGTATTTAATGACATCGGACCTCCAGCCCGTGTATGTTTTAACCATCGGATCACTTATCCTATCACATCATTAGCAGATTGGTTTCTATTGGATTATATTGTTGTTTTATTATCGTCAGTCGATTGCCTTTGTATCATTATCTACATTGGACATATAGCCGATTGCCCAAAACCCAATCAACATCAGCTAGTATCGGCATAGGCTGGAATTACAATATCGGCTTATCAGCCGATCGGCTCTATGATCTTCAATTTATATATCTTGTCAGTTGCAGGATCAAACTGACTAGCACGCGTGCATCTCATCAATATTTTGGACCTGCACTGGAGCTAAGCAGACTTCCCAGGTCGTTGTGTTCGTCGCCCTAGTTCGTGCCAACAAAGATCCGACACCATTGGGTCCGTGCCAGCAAAGATCCGATACCATTGGCCGAGTGCGGAATTTTCGTCAACATCAGCATGTTTTAGGTACGAACCATGAGCGAATTATCAAACCACATTTGCTAATTTCCCCTGGACATAGCCATAAGGAGATAATCTAGGAATACCCAGTTTGAGTACAGTGTCCCGAAACCGCCCACGATCGTCCAGGATTTCGATCGCGCACAGATTGATAAACAGAACTGCTTTCGATATATATACCCAAGTTTTTTTTTATAGAAATCATTACATAAAAGTAAACTGGAACAGGTTTTAGGGATCGACATGCCAAACATTCTCCCTACAAACACATGTAAGTTACATTGTAATTACATGCAAGTTACACTGTAATTATATCATAATTATACTATATTTACATCTCTCAATTTTTTTTAATTAAAATTTAACGAGAAATGTAAAGCTAATCCCGTTAATACGACATTGAAAAAGAACGGAGACGGTGGCGGAAGTCACCAATTTTCGGCTGAAATTATCAGGGCCTAGAAGTTAGAAAAACTAACTGGGCCAAAAGATTTTGGGCCGCTCTTTGTTGGACGAGACATAGCGTTTCTTTTTTTCTCATCGTGTGCTTCCGCTTGGCTTATCAGTAGCAGCCATAATCCAATTCTACAGTTGACTTTTTTTTGGGTCTATCGAAAAATTTGACGACAGAATTTTAGGTAAAAAAAATATCAAATGTAATTATAGTATAAATATATAGTGTAATTACATATATATATAAGTGGTGTAATTAATACACATGTAGTTTTGGAACTTACATATATGTAGTTTTGAAACTTACAAGTGTAATTTAAAGACTTGCATTATAAATATACTAAAATTACATATGTAATTTAAGGACTTGTAATATAAATACACGCTGACTATGTTTTTATGAAAATATGGCGACACATCTATAGCATTTTTTTTATTTATCGATGTCTCCTTAACACTTAAACCGTCAAAATAAATTACTCCCTCCGTCCCTAAATGTTTGACGCCGTTGACTTTTTAAAACATATTTAACCGTTCGTCTTATTCAAAAACTTTTGTGAAATATATAAAACTATATGCATACATAAAAGTATATTTAACAATGAATCAAATGATAGGAAAAGAATTAATAATTACTTAAATATTTTGAATAAGACAAATGGTCAAACATGTTTAAAAAAGTTAACGGTGTCAAACATTTAGGGACGGAGGGAGTATTTTTAGTTGTTGGTTTATTTTCTATGGCTTCTCCCAGCCGTCTCTAAACCGATCAAAGAATTTCTCTCTGACAATTTATACGCTGGCCTAAGCATAACAGCTTTACTGGTCATGTATCATATTTTTCCTTTTAGTTTTTATACAGTATTGCAGTTTTTGATAGGTAGCATGTGTATATTTCATAGTTGGTAGTACCTCACATCATAAATTACACCACTTTCATTATCGAAAAGTAAACCATACTTCTTTTTTTTTTCGGGGGCAAACATATATCCGCACGCATTACACATACGGCTACACATATCCACGCGAATGCGTCCTATTATTACATTTTCCATCAGCCAAAATTTACATTAGGTGCATGCAAACAGTAACCTGCTGGTATTAGTCGTACCTAAACGAGACAAATTTCGTTGAAATTGACGAGCCGGCCGGTCGCATGATATCGATCACGCAAGTCCCACAAAACTTACTTTAACCCTTGGCAGTTGGTACCGAGTCACTGACTGACTGAAATACTGGCAGTGGCAAACTGACGTTTTGGCAACGGCAACGAATATATCCGAGAGACAAAGGGTCAGCCTTGGCTAATCAAAACGGTGGGAAAACGAATGGGATAATATGGAGAGATCTCGACAGGACGCGAAAAGCAGGGCCCCCGTACGTCATCCTGGGACGAAAAATTCTCCCATGGCAGGCCTGAGTTTAGTTTTAAAAACATCACATCAAAAAAAATTTCATATGCATGAAACATTAAATATAGATTAAAAACTAATTGCATGGTTAGGGGAGAAATCGTGAGACGATCCTTTTAAGCCTAATTAGTCTATGATTAACCATAAGTGTTACAGTAACCCACATGTGCTAAAGATGGATTTATTAGTCTTTAAAGATTTGTCTCGCGGTTTCCAGACAAGTTATGAATTAGTTTTTTCATTCGTGTTTAAAAACTTCTTCCAACATCGGTCAAACATTCGATGTTACATCTAAAAATTTTCTTTTCGCGAACTAAACAGCCCCGTTAACAAGTCAGCATGGGCTTAGCGTATGAAAGAGCATCGCGTTTGGTGGTCGCCCATCACGTTGTACGCTCAACAGCTCAAGAAGAGTGGCGGATCTGTGGGGGGTGGTTGATTCACAACAAGCTTGTCCATTTCATTCTAGACTCCAATACTGATTCGTCTCTCCGAACGGAACAACGCTATCTGTCACTGTATAGGAGGATCACCAGCTTGTCGTTATGAGATTTTTACAGTATAATAATACAGTTTTAGTACTATTGTATAGTAATATTCTTTTTATGGAATTTAATTTGTAATAATGGTAAAAAAATATAATTGTTGAATACTTGAATCAAAATCTGACATAGATAAATGGATTCATAGGTACGGTGAATCATCTCAGACGGTATTGATAGGAACGACCAGAATTAATTAGTACTCATATTGTCCTTTCATGCTAAAATATAAGATATTAAAGTAAACTAGAATACATCTTATCTTACTATTACAAATTTAAATAGTCTTAGTACTAGAATTTATAATATTAGGATGGGTTTCATTCAATACTAATAACTTATGTTTTGGGCCGAAAGAAGTAGTAAGGATCAAAATACTACACGGTCGTCTGCATACAGTTATGGATAGCCAAATGGTACATCCCGGTCATTTCCTATCATTATCGGAAGAGAATTGACATATCGATCCGTATCTTTTTTTAAATGCTCTTGCGGATCTTTGAATTTTATACGTGAATTCAGAAAAAAGTTAAAAGAAATAACATAACGTAAATAGGAACCTGTAATAATTAAACAGAGTAGAATTGCTGGATCTATATCATTGCGGGCAAATCAAGTGGCTTATATGTTTGGGAGTCAACAACAAGGGTCCAGCTAGACTGGTAGTCTAGAGCGCATATCCGTAGTGTGTGTGACGCGACTATGTAAACCCAACAAACCATGGACGTCGATGACGACGAGGTGGAACGACTGATGCTTATGCTCACGCTCAGAAATAGTCGGAAACAATATCATCTCTTCGAAAATAATTCTTTGACTATTTAATGGTGATTGTAATATGGTGTTAAAATAAATTAGAAAATTAAAATAAAATTATGCATCAGTATAATTAAAAACGTTCAGCGAAGTGAACATAACTTAATTAGTTTGGTGTCTTGCGGTGAAACAAGTCTATCTAGTTTCAAATTCTAAGCTTAACATGGATGCTCGTATTTACAACTATTTATTTTTTAGTGGTAAGCGACGTATCTATCAATAATATTTATGCTCTTATCGTTGTTACGACCCTCCAGGGTTGTAATCTTGTAATTTTTTTCCTACTCTATCAATAGAACTTCGCACCGTCTCGTACGAGTCGTTAAAAAAAATAATATTTATGCTCTTAATAGTAGGCGACGTACCTTAGTGAGGTGCTCGTAGTGACTTCGTCAATATCAAAATATATCAGTCCAGTCTTTTAAAATCATGTGTTGTCCTGCGTTTTTGACTGTGCTTCTTAAAAAAAAAAAAAGAAGAAGAACAAGACCAAGAAGCAACGTTCGAAAATGGTATCACTTATACGTTAGACGCTGCTCCGTCGTCGGTAGAGAGTTTGCATGACCGACCTGTAGCGAGAGCAAAGCTAGAGCAGTTACGCGCCGTGCCTACCCGTGTATCACCGCGATGAGGTACAGTACGTACCTCGCTACCGACCGACCGACCGACCGCCGCGCGCGTACTGGCTACACACACATACGCGCGGCGACAGCACGCACGGGGCACCGCCACCGCGACGCGACGCGCGCGGGGGGAAAGCTACCGTACGCGTACGCGCCCGTCCCTTCCCTCGCCGGTCCGCATGCCGCTGTCGCGTTGAAACCTTCAAACGCCGCCCTCTCCAACTCCAACAGTGGAGCGCGCACGCACGCACGCTGGCTCTGCTCTGTGCCGTGCGCATCATTCCATCGGTTTCTCCACCCAGCCCGGCCCAACCCCAAGTCCCCAACCCCCGCTCGTGGTTGGAAATTTTGGACTCCCACGACGTCGCGGTCACGCACGACTCCCATTTATCACGGTCACGCGAGCCCCCCTTCACACGCGCTACACGCTCCTCCTCCCACTCCCCGCTCCCCCGCACCATTCGTCTCGTGCAAGTGCAACCAGCCACTTGCGTGATGATATATTGACTGCTCCATCTCTCGTCTCGCGCTTCACTCCACATCTGTTTCCATCGCGAGCCACAGAGAGAGGGGGAGAGAGTGTGAGTGTGAGATCACAACTACTGTAGTGTTTGTGTGTGCGTGGGATGATGGGGACGGAGGCTACGGCGACGACGACGGTGAGCGGCGGCAGTGGCAGGGCGGCGCCGGCAGCGCTGTGCCTGCAGGCGGCGCGCGGCGCGTGGTCGCGGACGAGCAAGGTGCTCGACGTCGACGCCGCGTCGCCCACGGCGGCGCCGTCGCTCGGGTCCTCCGTCGGCGTGCCGTTCCTCTGGGAGGAGGCGCCCGGGAGGCCTAAGGTGGTGGTGGTCGCGCCAGAACACTTCGCGCCGCCGCCGCCGCTCGCTCCGGCTGCCGACGAGAGGGCACCTGTTTCTCACGGCGGCGAGGCTGCGCCTGCGAGCGGTGGTGACCGCGGCGACGGTGACAAGGCGCGACACGTCGTCGTGCCGCTCAAGCTGCCGCCTCGGTTGCAGGCTGCAGCGGCAGCCGCGGCGGCGGCGGATTCGTCGCTCTCCCCCAACACCGTGCTGCACGGCCCCTACGGTGGAAACAAGCCGCCGAGGCCGCTGACGAGGAGCGGGAGCACGGCGAGCCACCGGAGGAAGCCAAGCGCCGTCGGGGTGAGCCTCTGGAGGAAGGCCACGGCGGCGGCGAGAGGCAAGAAACACGACTACGACGCGGCGGCTCTGGACGCGTCGTGCCGCTCTCCGGCGTCGTCGTCCTCCTCCTCGTCATCCTCGTCGTCCTCGTCGATGTCCTACTTCGCCGACGACGACCACCGGAGGAAGGCTGACGGGCACGGCGACCCGGAGCCGGAGGCCGACGGCGAGGAGTGCGGCGCCAAGAGCACGGTGAGGATCACGCGGTTCAAGAGGAACAAGAGCCTCCCGAGCGTGAACACTTCGCACCTGTGGGTACGTGCGGTTTCCCGCCTTCCTCTGCTTTTTCTCTATGCGTTTGCTCTGTTTCCCGCAACTGAACTTGAACTCGATGTCCGAATGCGATTTTTTTTTACTCTGTTCTTCATATTACAGATTTTAACATGGAACTCCAAAAAATATTTCTGAGAAAAAATATTCTATTGTATGTGTTGTAATATTACTAGTTTATACTATTTCGTTCTAAAATATTCTAAAATATAAGAGATTTTGTCTACACATTTTGTATTGCTAATTTTTTTTTTATATTTTAAGACTCATTTAGTTATTACTATCGATTGGTTTCTAGAGAGTTTTTTTTTAGAACAAAATATGGGGTCAACAAGACATAACTTGTGCTGATTATCAATCAATAATTTTTTTTTGCGGGAGATTATCAATCAATAATTAAAAAACGATTTTCTTTAGTAGGGATTTTTGTGATCGACAAATCTTATGTGTTATTTTTTATATGATTCTTTGGGGTTAACAATGGACAGCACACATATATCATGTTTATAAGCACTAGAGATCTGAAAACCTGGATAGTTGTCTAAACTCTAAACTCTAAACAAGCACACTTCACACATCTTGCATTTTTTTTGGCAGTCTTGTACACATCCATTAATTTTATCTAGTGATATAGCTGGCGCAGAATATGTTAGTAATCTTGGCGACTAATCCAAAGTTGAACTTTGAGCAGGCAAGCATCCGCAGAAGCGTCAAACAGATTACTCCATGGAGCTAGAAATCCTGCAAACTCCCACGGTACAGTGTCACAAACTGTACCCAGACATGCAGATCAGGAATGCTACATCTGCAAAATGTTGAGCTCTGGAAATCACAAGGACATCCGGATGACAAAGCATTCGCTGCTCAGTGTAAAAGAAGAATTTTAGTCTGTAAATCTGTAATGCAAGGATAAAGGGTTAAGTTGCGAAAAAAAAGAGAAAAAGGTCATGTACTGAGTGAAAGAATTTAGAGAGTTAGATGAACCCTCCGCTCGTTGCTTCGGGAATTTCTTTGTGTACCCTTTGTAAATACCCCGGGATGCTCAGGAAAACAAAATGTAATAAACCAAACATTGGCTTGGCAAAGTCATTTGATCCCCTTGGAAGTAATATAAAGGGTTTATGACTGCAAAACTCATCATACACTCTGAATTCGTCGAATGGAAACTTGATTGCTTGATAGCATGAATAGAGATGGGCATAACTGGAAAAGTTCAATTTACAGGGATTATTTCATCCATGACATGATGACAATGAGCTTAAGCTTCATTAATCAGGACACAAGCTTGTTGGGCATTTTTAAGCCTCAGGCAGAAGCAAGAAACTGAATCCGGCAAAACTTGTTTGGCACATAAATATGCAGATATATTAGGTCGCCTGTTTTTAACATATAAAACATTGAATCTAATAAAATGTTGGCACCTCCCGGCATTGTCAAGCAAGAACATTGATTGTCTTAGAGTATTTATGCCAACTAGTTTGTACACATGAAAAATGAATTATGGAAAATTTTAGCTCAGGAACAAGAATTCATGCAAGGCCATGAGAAATGAATAGCTGAGCCCACCTGAAAAGCTATATGCTCTTTCATATCTAGGACACTGAGAGTAAGTCCATATGAACAAACATCACACATTCTTTAATAATATTACTTTACATGGTATTCTACATATACATTGGTTGAGTACAAACACAGATTCAGTATGACAAACCTCCATTGTACATAAGACAAAATACACTATAGTGTTCATCGCTCGACAAGATTAGGACACGCTTGGCCTGATAACCAGGGTACCAGACATCAATAGTACCAGGTCTGCATCAATTTCAATAGCCATACATTGATTTCACAGCTACTACTATCTAGCAGTGAACATGCCATGAAACAAACCTCCAGGCATCAATGTTCAGAGCTAGCATAGCATAGAAGTGCCTGCGCAATACATGAATATGTTCCATACCTGACCCACAAAAGTTCAGATCCAGCCACTATATATGGGCTGCTAGTTCACCTGTAGTTAGAAAAATTTTAGTTGCGCGATAGGATGATGCCTCACGTGGCACAAAGAAACCTCATGCAGCAGGAAAAGAAGAACAGGGAAAACTAAGACATCGACTCAAAATTTGTATTTACCGAATCAAGCAGCTATCTGAACCATCCAAAAGGTTTAACAATGGTTGAATGTAGGTCGACATAGTGAAATTTTACATGGTGTGTTAAGTGTATCTTAAGCAATTGGTTGAACGTTCACTCCGCTCTAGCAGACCTACATTACATATGGTTGAATATAGCTAGGTCGACATAGTGAAATTTTACAAAATGCCTGAATGTAAGGTTTAACAATGAATAAGAAGATTCGGAAAATTAATCTCCATTGTTGTGGACTTGGGAATCACTAAAGTAAGTAGTTGTGCAATTTTTCAAAATTCCAATTGCTTAGTTGAAATATCAATCCTCTCCATTTTCATTATATAGTGGTTGACAAGATTTGCAAGTGATTGACAGGTGGGCCTACTTCCCATCCTTGATTTTTCTTTTCTATGTTCCAAACATGCGTTTCCTATATTTTCTATTCCTCTTTTTTGCCATTATATCCTAATTTTACACATATGCCATTCTGTGTTTCTATAATTCCTGTGTTCCTAATTTTATAATTCATTTAGCTCTTAACCCTGACTTTGGAGGAATGAAATTTCAAGTTCCCAAGGTGTTGGGATGAAAAACAAAACTTGACTCGAGGAGATAATAGTAATCGTACTTACTGATTGGTTCCTGGTCGCCAATTTACTGTAACTTGCTGTGCTGCTCGTTAAGCTTCTTCTATTCTTATTGTTCTAAGCTTTCCAACCTCATCCTCTGAGCCGTTGCCAAGTCCACTAGTTGTGATCGCTTGCTCCCGGCCATCATCGACTACGTTTGCCACCTTCCTCCACGCCAATATTTTGATTTCCAAATCTTCCCTATGTTCTCCCCCTAGCTCATTCAACATGGACTCAGGATCTTCTAGTAATGCCTTTTTGGTGATAATTGGCTCACACAGCAACTTCGCAACCTACACCATACATCACTCAATATATAGGAACCATATCTACATTAATAAAAGCAAACATACAATATGAAAGAAGGCTGAAAATTAACCTTCTGGAGTACTTCAAGATCAAGCTTGGAATCAAGATAGACGGCACCAACAATGGCCTCAACAATATCAGCAAGCACCCTTGGACCCTCAATGGGGTCACCACTATATGGGCCTTCAACTGACTTGGTAAAACGGCTGACCTGCATCACAAATGCTATAGTCAGTAAGAGCATACGGCATACCAATCATCAAAGTGCACGGTACGGTTGGTCTGAATCTGTCCCCGATTGGGTTTTGTTTTATAAAACAACCATATTTAAAAAAATAAATAGTTTTCACTTACAACTTTATGGACTTTGTGGTTGAAATTTTTTTATTATTTCTCATTTGAGATCATACCCAAATATTCGTTTGAATATATATTTAGCTGAAAAAATAATAAATTGTTTGATACTCCAGCTATCAGCTATGAGTGTGAGGTGGGATTGTGCTAGTCTGCTACACTTAGGTAAAATAGATGACTTGGGTAAAATTCTTTTTCAGGCGGTGGCTAAACGCGTGCGAAAATGGCTTTCCACCGCCTGTAAATTAAAACATTTTTTTAGCGGTAAACGAAGGTGGTCGGTATTCAGTTGTTCCATAATAATACCTTAGTTCACCTTTGTATATAGTACTACTCCTTTGAGTTGCTAAGTTTAGTTACATCCCAAAGTCGAATATTATTGATCGGAGCGAGTTTGCATCTCATGCAAAGAGTTGTTAACTGGCCAAATAAAATTATGGATCGATCTACAACATATTATTTTGAGCTTATGATTAATGTTTATTTAAGCATATCAAATGCTTAGCACACAATATGAGTATCCAATTACGATTTGTTTGGCAAGAGAAGGGACGAGGAATGAGAGTCTTAAGGAGGGAGTTGATGGTGGGATTGGTTATGGGAGTTACATTTTTAGTCCTCATCCGTTGTTTGGTTTCACATCGAATTCTCTCCAAGTCTCACGAATTAACAGGCCTCCCCCAGGTAAGAGATTGGTGGGAATTGGACCTCTTAATTCCCCATCCCAAACCCCCTGTAATTCCTAAGTCTTTCAACCAAACTACAGACTTAAATTTCTAGATATCATAAACTCCCATTCCCATCACAAACACCCTCCAACCAAACAGGTCATTAAAGCTTTCTTAATTTCAGGGTATTCATGGGGAAGGTTTTGAATGTATATATGAAATTTAAGATTATGAAGAGAAAACCTAAATCTTACATCCCGATGTGTCGTTAAAGGCTCTAACGATGATAACAGTGTGAATCTACCATCCCAACTTATCACATCGTAAATTTTGCAAATGAACTTAATAATAAAATACAATTATATCCACATATAAAATTAAATAAAAGTGAATATTATCCATAGAAAAAGAAAAGATAGATAACATGCACATTTTATAAACAACTAGGAAGAAGCCAGCGCATATGCACGTGCCTCTTATCTATTTTCTTATTATAACCCTGTAAAATAGCTCATGGACTTTCATTACAAATTATCTTGCTATAAGTGGAGGAAAGAAAAGAGAACGGAGTTGACAAGAAAGAAAAGAGAACATAGTTGAATGTTCCGAACGACAAAAACACCTACAAAATTGCCTTGCTATAAGTGTTGGAAAAAGAGAAAGGACTTAAATCTTCCGAACGATAAAAATGCCTATTGGATTCAGTCATAAATCACTACCAGTACTGTTCCCTACTTCCCTCAAAATATAACGTGTATTAGCTTTTCAATGTCTTTAACATTATAGTTGACTTATTTTTTATAATATGCTATAGAAAAAGTGAATTTCACATCACATAAAAGTGCTTTCAGATATAAACATAATAATATGGAATACATGATACTAAACATATATATTAGTTTAGTCATTAGTCAAAACTTATGAATGCCGATTTTGCTAAAAGTACGGTGCCTTATATTTATTTTGACAAATGGAGTACTTATTATTATTATTATTATTATTATTATTATTATTATTATTATTATTATTATTATTATTATTATTATTATTATTATTATTATTATCTTGAAAGTTAGGCACCTTTTCATAGAGGAAATTGCAGTTATACCACCGAAATAAACCTAATACAAGATAATGTATTAAAAAAATCATCTTTGCTCCAAACTTGGCAATATGTTTTCATGTATCATTTTGTCTAAATCTGTGTAGAAGTATTGTAAAAATACCACTCCTGCCTCTTAGCAGGATAATACTGTTAAAATCAAACATGATCATGCACCGTGAAACCCTGGTTCGAGCATTGACATGCTTCTTGAGACCCACACTCATGTGCCCACTTAAGCTCCTCGTAGGTACAGAACCCATTAGGCCCCTTACATTGACTTGCTTCAATATTCTCACATGACGTGAAGTCCTAGTTCTCCTACGAAAACCATCTTTCGTGGCGGCTATTTTAGGTTTTCGCTAGCGGAATTTGGAGCCGCCACAAAACAAAGGGCAGTGAATATCAATATCCTCGCTGGCAGTCGTCTTAAGCCAGCCGCCAGCAAAGATCCATTTTTGCTGGCGGCTGTATTACAAACACGGATGACGTACAGAGTATTGGCAAAAACATTTTCAATTTTTATAATAGTAGAGATATATATATTAAGTGTTAATTAGCTAGAAAATATGAGAAGTTAGTTAGAAAATATGAGAGATTACGGACGGTGGAGGGAGTACAGAGTATGTACTACGCACATCTATTGATGGCCATAAGGCCTGAGGCCCAACGGCCCGGCCCAAGCACTACATGGCCCGACAGTTGGGCCGTGCCTGGCCGATGCCTTTGCATGGTGGGCTGGCCCGGTACTGCACGGTCGAAGAAGAAAAATAGTAGAAATATCCAAAATAGACTTAATCAGCCATATAAGACATGGTCCAAAGAGAAGAGGAATACAAAACAGACTTACTTCGGCCATATATAACACAGCCCAAAGAGTTGAGAGAGAAAATAGACTTATTAAGCACGATGGACTGTCGTGCCTTCGGGCTGGCCTGGCACGGCCCGAGTCATATTGGGCCGTGCTTGGGCCGTGAGTATAGCCCATTGGCTGGCACGGGACGGCCCGATGTGTAGGTCGGGCCGTGATGACCCGACTGACCTTGGCCCAGGGCCGGGCCGTTTGGTCATTGGCACAACCGCCGTGCGGGTGTGATACCGGATTTAATGGTTAAAATCATTGGGTCCATCTATTTAAAAGAAAATCAATAGTTAGTTGTATTTTTTTAATCATAATTTATAGGATTTTCTTCAATATATTGGAGTGCCATGTGGTGATTTAGAAGTATTTGTAGAGTGTCACATGATATCTTGGAAGCGTTTGTAGTAAGTTTAATACAGTAAAATTTTAGTATATAATAGGTAGTCCTATATTTTTTTATACTTTAATTAATCGATACTAGCAAAGTATGGATCCGCGAGAGAGAGAGAGTACAGAGGAAAGCAGAGGAGAGGTTCGTGCGTACTTCGTGGTCTTGAGGGGCGCAGTTGTAGCGCCGGAGCAGCGGATAGAGGCGCCGGCGGACGGCGACGCGGGCGAGCTTCTGGGTGGAGACGTTGGCGGAGCGGAGCACCGTGAGGTCCCCCTGGTCGAGGCCCGGGTCGTCCCGGTAGAAGATGGTGGCGAAGGCGAGGCCGAGCGCAGCGTCGCCGAGGAACTCGAGCCGCTGGTGCCTGGCCCGCCCGCCGGCCTCGTCCCTGGGGTGCACGCTGTGCGTCAGGGCGTCCTCCAGCAGCAGCGCGCCGCCGTCGCGGAAGCTGTACCCGCCCAGTGCACGCTCCACCTCCGCCCGCGCCGCGTCCCGGTCCGCCACGAACTCCGCGCCCGGCGCCGGATGCTGCTGCTGCTGCATCGTCGATCAGTTTCTGGGCGTTGCGACCGATCAAAGAAAGGATGGATAGATATGCATGGATCAAAGCTAGAGTTAGAGCTTTCGACCGATTGTTCGTATGTGGAGTACTGGAGTATATGAGGGGCTGGAATGTGGATTGATGGGCACTGCCACTAGCGTAGCTAGCCGGCGGGCGCCTTTCGGCAGCGACTTGTTTGCCCTTTGGATGGATAATACTGCACCCGGTGGTAGATCGTCCTTGTGTCGGCAGTGAGAGTGATATATATGCGACCACAGCTCGGAACACCACCAGTTCACCATGCATAATAGACTTCGGGACGAAGGCACTTGGGCACTATATATATACTCTCTCATGCATTAAACGTATCTTGACTGTCAAAAATAAGTCTTACTCTGTCTCGTTTACGGTTATAGAATTATTATAGTAAAAGAAAATACTTTCTAACATGGATCCAGCAATATTTTTTTCATGACATTATACACTACTATGGAGCCGGTCATTCATAACAAGTTATAACCCTTAATTATATGCGGGGGATGGACGCCTTGATCACAATGAGTGATCAGCGATATGAAAACCTCATCTATCGGATCCCCTTTCATCACTGATGATTTTTATTTCTGAAGGGTGTTAGTTTTAATTGTGACCCGTCGCCGATGTGGACAATGAGGAAAAAAAATCAGTTTATACAACACGGCCCATCACCGATATAAAATACCCGTGAAAATAAAACCAAAAATATCGATGATGACAATGAAATCGCTTTGCCCCTCCGAAGCTCATCGCCGCTGTCATAGTCATTGTCCCCATCACCATCGTCGCCGCCTACCAAAACTGTGTGGATGGCTAGATCTGATGGTCTCCAACCTTCAGGAAGCCAGATCTGGCACCTCCGAAGTGGTAGCGACCAACCCTGACCCTAAGTGGATCTGGCCATCTTGCCCATGGGGGCTTCGATCTGAATGGCGAAGAGGAGGGCGAATGATAGTAAAGTTAGTGAAGATAACGCCTGTCGGTGACATGGGACCGGGAGTATCATGACTAGAGGCATGAGGCAGACACAATCGCCCACGTGGCCTGGCACCGTCAGGGGGCGTCGGGCCCGAGGGTGATGTGTTCGCCCTCCTCTTTACCGGGAGTATCATGACTTAGAGACTTGAGGCAGACACGATCACCCACGTGGCCTAACTCCCTCGGGGGGGGGGGGGGGGGTCGGGCCCGAGGGTGATACGGCCGCCCTTCTCTTTGTCTCCCCAAGGGGTCGGGCCGCTCCCGTCTCGGCCCCGAGGGCCGAAGCGCCCCGACCCCTTGTGGGTTTTGCGCCACGTATATGGGGTAGGTGAGCATGGCGGGGCTCACCTAACCACATTTATTGCAGTTTTGACGAGCGCGTCACGCCGCATGTATCGCAGTATAGCACGCTCGTTTATCCGGTCTGTGACCAGTCACAGACCGGTCAGATCATGGGTTAGGTGGCGACAGGCGGTCTGACGCACGCCTCGCCCCATCCCGTCAGGACGAGAGCCTCCAAGCACTCGTCCCTAGCTGGAGCCGGCGTGTTAGCTCCTGGAGATGGCACGTTGGTTCCGGTCAAATATATGTCAGGCTTCATCCTAACCATTACAGGCAAGATATTGTATGAAGAAGGGCGAACATGCAGATTGTTAAACTGACACGTGGTGGACAAGAATGACCGATTTGTGACCGGTCTGACAATGGTCAAGTCATCAGCAGACAGCCATCTTCCCACGTCGCGCCTGCCTCCGGCGGAAGTGGAGGTAGGTATGGGCCGTCCCGTCAGAAGGTCATTCGGACGGCGGCGATGCAAATCTCCGTCTGTTAATGAAGAGAAGTCAAATTGGAAGAAAGAGAGGGGGAGATGGTGCATGTGGTATCCCCTTAAGATATAAAAGGAGGACCTTGCCCACTTAGAGAGGGGATTGGACTTTTCCAGATTGGGAACCCAGAACGAGGGTGTCACGACCGGAAATAACCCAACGGGCATTCCTTACGTGCGTGCATTAATTCTTGTCCCAGGAGGCAAGGTACACCAAAAGTTGATACAAATCAGAGTTTAACAAGCGGAAGCGTAAATAGTTAACTTATTACATGGGCAGCGAAGGCCCAGCACACACAAAGACAAACGAGAAACAGCGGAAGACTAGGGCGACGACCACAGACGCTTGACGGCAGGCACGAGCTAGACACCGAAGCCTTCATCTCCAAGGAGCTCCTCTTCTGGGCTTTGGAAAAATTGAGCAAGACTGAGTACAACCACCGTACTCAACAAGACACACCCACAAATGCAGAATAAATGCAAGGGAGTACAAGGGAATTATAATGTAAGGGTTAGGGTTGCAGTAAACAGCATTTAAAGACATTTAGTTGCTCAAAGCTATTTTGTAAACACGATCCTAGAACTAAACAATATTATTAATCAAGGCCGTGAACCCACACGAACCTGCCTTAACCCAAGGCCTACGATGATTCAGACCGAACTGGCAACCCGACCCTGGGTCCCAGCTCGTCCTAAGCCAACCCAGGCCAACCATTCCACATTTTAGTTGTTAAGCAGGTTTTAAGAATTAAAACACTAACTTGGGTACATTGCTCGGCTTGCCCATAACCGAGGGCGCGGCTATTCGAATAGATTATACTCTGATCAGAGGTGTACATCTTTACCCACAAGACACATCTTCCTCACGTGTAACCACGTGCCACATACCACCACGGTATATAGACGGAAGACGTGACATAGTTTCCAACCCATCCTAGCCATAGACAAGAGTACCGACCCAATCCCACCTACGGCCGGAACCCCCGGGACAGGCAGGCAAGACTGAGCCCCTAGCAGCAGGGCACCAACCCTCTGCCAATGACATCTCGACTACCGGGCCGCAGCTCGTGTAGCCTTCATTTGCCCTGGAGAATGTCCATCGACCCCCGACTTCATCCATCTCCAATCCGTGTACTTTTGTTTATGACTAGACTGAGCCACAAACTAAGCCTTACCCACTAGACATGTGGAAGTACGGTAGTGCTTTGCAACAGAGGCCCGAAGACCGGTCCTTATATGGCCGAGGTGCTACTATCAAAACCATGCACCCCGAGCCCAGCCTAAAACCATTTTTGGGGATTTTGAATAAAGGGGGCGGGGTGAATCCAATTCCACAATACTCCAACAATTCCACAGTGTCCGGGTGATATGAATATTTCCCAAAGTCTAAAGTTGAAAAGCCACCTAATGTTACCTAATTAAATTGCGAAGCATCTACCTAAATTTAAACTAGTGGTGCCATGAGTAGAGTGTCCACTAGTTGAGGTTTTGTTTAATCTAGGGTGAACAAGGTAATAATAATAACAATAACAATAATAATATGGTCATAACAAAGGTAAATAGGCATGGCTAAATAAAACAGTGATAACGCGGGAATTTAAATAAAGCGATAATGCAATAATTTAAATCAACATAATTTTACAAACTGGGATTCAATATGTTCAAAGATGATGTGACTTGCCTTGCTCGCTTTCCCAAACGTCGGCTTCAACTTCCACGAAGAGCGGATCTTCCGAAGCTGCAGCGTCTACACGGCCAACGGAAAAGAAAAAGGCTTTTACTCTAATAAACTCCACATAACAGCAGAAACAAAGCACAAAAATGGGTTCTCGACTTCTTAAGGAAAAATTAGAGACTTGAACGGTCCAATTCCGAGTTCAAATGGCCAAGTTATGGCCATTTGAAGTTTATATGCTCTTTAAATGGATATTTGCGAATTTCTTCATTTAAATTTTAATTAAAAACCCATTTATTGCGCCAGCCGGGAGAGAGGGCGCGCGGACCGGGTCCACGGGAGTGGGGCCCACGCGTCAGCCTCTCGGTCCACGGTGGACCGGGAGCACGCGGCTGGCGGCGGCCGGCGCCGTGGGTCCCACGCGTCAGCCGCACCCGCGGGCGCGGGCGGCTGACGGCCGGGCCCCACCTGGCAGCCGCGGGGCGCGCCCGAAGGTGGCCTCGCCGGCACGGCCGACGGGAGGCGGCGCACTCGCGCCCCGATGGTCGCCGCCGGCGACCAACGGCGCGGCGGAGCGGCACCCGAGAGAGAGGAGGGAAGGGGGAAGCGAACGGAGCGGTCCACGGCTCACCCCGGGTCGACGAGGGCGGCGGAAGTGACGACCGGAGCGGAGGAAGACGGCGGCGCGGCTCGGGACTGCGAGGACGACGGTGCTCCGGCGGTCGACGGGCGAAACGGAGGCGCGGACGAGGTCGACGGGGACGCGGCGAAGCCGATGGAGGTGACGCCGAGTCGGGAGGAGGTCCGGAGCGACGACGGCGGCGAACCGGAGCTCGGCGGCGACGGCGGAGAGAAGGTGCGACGGTGCGGGCACAATTCCGACGGGGAGAGTGAGCGGCGAGCGACGGAAACGGAGGAGCGAAGCACGAGGAGCGATTATATAGCGCCGGGAGAGAGAGAGAACGGCCGGAGAGGAAGGAATCGGCCGCGGGGATCTCGGCTCCATTGATTGCGCCGGCGAACTTTGCGGGCATAAAATCGGACGAATCCGAGGGAGAGAGAGAGGGGAAAACGGGGGGAAAGAGAGAGGGGATCGTGGGGAATAAATTCCCCCTCATTATGGCGCGCGGGGACGGCGGGATGCGGCGGATTCGGCGGCGGCGGCGGCGCTAGGGCACGGGCGGGCGGCGGGCGCGGCGCGAGGAAGGCGATGACAGGTAGGCCCCACCCGTCAGCGAGGGTGGCGGGCGGGCCCGCCTGTCAGCGGCGCGCGCGCGGGGAGGAGGCCGATGGGCCGCGGGGGAGAGGAGAGAGAGGGAGGGAGAGTTGGGCCGAGCCGGCCCAAGAGAGGAAAGGGGGGGAAAAGAGGACTTCTTTTAGGGTTTTTCTTTTTATAAACCTTTTCAACTTTGTTTATTTCTTCTCAATTATTATTTGTGCTCTGAAAATTCCACTAAAATTTATTTACGCATTTTAGGCTTTTAGGAAATATACAAAAATCCTCCAAGCCTTATTTGACTTTTAAATTTGCACATTTTAATTGTTGGAGGCTTTCACATGAATTTTAATTATTCTATGCACAATTTCGAGGATGTATTTTAGAGTCGATTTGGGACGCGACAAACCTACCCCCCTTAAACGGAATCTCGACCCCGAGATTCGGAAGAACTGGCGAAGAGATCGGGATGGGCTGCCTTCAGCTCGTCTTCACGCTCCCA